TATTATCTCGAGGCATACGAGCATTAAATTAGCGTTAATGATAATCAACTGTCATAATTGATATATGATCTATTTTCCCTCCTTCTAAGGCAGCGGCATTTATTCAAACCGGTATTTCAACTCGTGACTCGCTGCGGGTTTGAATAATGAAATTAAAATTACTAATTTATAACAATTAATTGAGAAACTTTTTCCCGAGGAGGCGAAGATCGGACAAAAAAAAAAAAAAAAAAACGATATGGAGAAACGACGATTTTCTTTGGTCATGGAAATTCTTATTTTCAGCAAAAAAGTTGTGAAGCTGATTATAAAACAGTGAGGCGTGTATTTACGAGCTCGGTTCTTGCAGCGCTTTCGAGAAATCGCCGACTCGGTCCGCCGACGTCGAAGGTACTCGACGGGTCCTCGAATTTCTGACCAGGCGAAATCGCCCGTTCACCATCTCCCGGTTCATGTTGTATCGTCCTCGTGAATCGGCGCTTTCCGCCGAACGGCCACACAGATGCTTTCTCAGCATCGAGTCGCGCGCTTTTTCGTCTTTCGACCGACATCTACACCTATTTTTCCACTCAGCCTGGGGAACCACCTTTATGCGGTTCCTTCGCGCAGCATCTTCTCACTTCGTCTCCGTTTCTTTTATTTGGGTAGCCGAGTTTTCCGCTCGCACCACCATCCATCCCGTTTTCGCTTTCGTCACCTGCACCATTTCATCCTGCTCTCTCTCTCTCTCTCTCTCTCTCTCTCTCTCAATGCAAAGTTTAATTTTTCTGCTTCGTTAAATGCCATAACTCATAATGTAAATCAGAGACTGATATACTCTTCTCCGGCTAAAATAACTTTGTGTATTAATGTGATCTAGTTATGAAGTTAATAAGATCTAGTTATGAAGATAAATATTAGATTTTAATCGAAAACTTTAGATTATATTGATTACGTTCTTGAAATCTTTTTGTGCGTATATATTTAAGTTTACATTATAAAAGTATATTATATAAGTATATATTATAAGTTTACATTATATAAAATAAAGCATGAATAATGTGTCGGCAAAGCAAGAGATATCGTGGTGTTCTTTTAACATACGGATAAGGATGATTCTTTCATCTTTAATATTTCTCATTTATTTCATTTTATAAATAAATGTATACGGAAAATTTTGAATAATAACTATATTTATACGATACTGCTTTAACATGGGATTTTTCTCTTTTCTGCATTTCGCATCTCTTAATGGAAGAGAGTAAAAACGATCATTGTTTCCTGTTTTCCAACCAAAAACAGATATATAAAGTTATTTGAAATATTTAAAATGTTTTTGTTTCGATTACATTAATCCGTATTGACATAAAAAATAAAAAATTGGATATTTAATATGGCTCCAATATCAAATGTCATCATCACGTTTTGTCTATTGACATCGATCGATGATTCACATTCCGAATATAGATCCGAATATGGATCAGCAGTTTCAAAAAACGCCTTTAGGATATCTTCGCATTAAGGGTGTCTTCCGGTCTTCGATCGCGGGCTCGCTCAACAATTTTTTCGCGTTTCTCGTCGCTAACGTCCTCGCTCGGAGAAGCAACCCTGAGCGTAATCCTCTCCCGCCCGAGAACGCACCACCACATCCCTTCGTCTCTCCGCGCCCTCATCTAGTTTCCAGCAACGTTATACAGCAACGGACAGACAGACAGGCACCGACACGAAGAACAACCCTCTCGCATTTCACCCTCTCGCGCAACCCTCTCTTCCTCCTCCGGTCTTCTCCCTCGACGCGCGGCTGCGCAGAGGAACGGCGCGAGGCGTCGGCGTCGACGTCGTCGTCGGCGTCGGCGTCGGCGTCATGCCGGGGGCGTCGCACCATCGTCGTCGGCAGCGAGCGTCTCGAGCGAGCGTCGCCTCGTCTCACCAGGCTAGTATCAAGCCGGGAGCCGTCGAGAGGGTCGATCCACCTCCGGGAATCGGTGTCCACTGATCGGTAATCAGCAGCCACGGTAGCGAACGGCGAACGGAATTAACGTGATTCGCGCGTATTATTCCGACGTGTATATACGTCCGGCTTCGCCGAGGCATATCCGGGTGGTGAGAGAAAGAGCGAGTGCAAGAGGAAGAGAAAGAGAGAGAGTGAGAGAGAGAGAGAGAGAGAGAGAGAGAGAGAGAGAGAGAGAGAGAGAGAGAGAGAAAAGAGAGAGAGAGAGAGAAGGAAAAATGGAGCGCGCGGCCGGATCGATCGCGATACGAACGGACGGCTGACTCGAGAGTGAACCGCGAGCGAGTAGCATAGTCGTCTGACTCGGCCCGACGTGCGGGACCCGTGTCGGCGCCATTGAACGCCACCACGAGCTTGGCCACGGGGAAAACGGCGACCGTCGCGAATCGTGCCGTTGCGACCATCCCCCGGCAATCTCTCTCGCGATTCTGCGTCGCGGACGACGCGGAGAGGGAGGGACAGAGCCTGGTGTGTGGTGAAAGTGCTCATCGCGTGATTAGGTCGAGGTCGTGTCGCTCGTCGCTGGGACCGCTCTCTCTCCATCCCGGTGACCTTCGGTACCGGGAATGAAGCGCAAAGTCAGGTGACGTTCCACGCCATTCGGACTGATCCGCTCGCGCCGTGCCGTCCGAGGAATTTCGAGACGAGACGTGCGTCCCGCCGAAAGAGTCGCGGTGAAAGTGTGTCATCGACGCGACGCGACGCGTTTACGCGAGGCGACTCTCGAGTGTTGGATCGCGACTACCAGGTACTCTCGAAGTGAGTACGAGACAACGAGACGATCATATCTCGACATGGTAGTTGGCCCTGCATTGTTATGCGCGATCTATTCAAGAATTCTCTGAGAAACGGAAGCCCCGAGAAGCTGGAAGAAACTGGAAGTCGTATCAACAATTTTCTGACAGTTATCGAATTTTCCATATCCTTATCTTCTCGATAAAAACTGTCTAAAAGATCGTCTCAATAAAAATAAAAAATAAAAAAAAAAACGTGCACGCAATTTATCTTATCTCATCATTTTCTGAAGAGGAGAACTTTCTTGCTGATTGTGTCATATTTTCGATGTCGGTAATTGGTGATTCTGTCAGTGGAATGAAATAAGATAATTGGTTATCTTTTCGAAAATCAGAATCTTAGAAGGAAAAGACATTAAAAATAAAACGTCGATACTACTTCAATGCTCTCTTTAAATGCATTTAAATGACTGACCGATATCTATTGATTTCCCGTAAAAATATGATGTTGGTACAAGAAGATTGAATTTTACTATAGTCAAAGTGCGTTAAGAAGTAAATTTAACACATGTCCTTTGGAAGAAAGTACGTTATCTTAGTCTCAATCTCTGCTTGCTTTTGAATTGTATAGAAGTAATACAATAAACGCGTGTGATTAAAGCGTTTGTTTCTCGAGAAACTTTTCATTGTCAATCGATTGGTGTACAATATATACGCGTGTTAAAGGGAAAAAGGTGTTGTGGATTCTCGTTACATTTCGAGTGTGTTTAGAGTGCACGAATATATTCGAAGATAATTTATCTTGATGCGTCCAATTAACAGACTGAACTTGAAATTGAAGACATATCCAGAAATATCGACTTCTTTTACGAAAATGATGAACGAATCTCATGCTAATTGAAAAGTAATTCTATCGAAGATAAGATTTAAAAGAAGGTATCATTTTTATGAGTAATTCTTCTCTATCGAAGTACGTTTTCGTAAGCATTTATCCTTATAACTCATCTCGAAAGAGGAACCCTAAAATTTAATAACGAAGGTTAATCGCAATTTAAAACGAACGTGTCTGAACGCTATCAAGTTTGTTAATTTCTCTGAAACAGTCGGACAACGATTTTCCCGCTCGACCAATTTGTGCGATAAAAATTTACTCAGAGCTCAAAGAGCCATCAATCGAAGACGTTCAATATTTATACAGTAAAAAAAGGGAGAGAGAGAGAGAGAGAGAGAGAGAAGAGAGAGACAGAGAGAGACGAGAGG